GACGGTCCAGGAGTCAGCGTGTTTTCACATGAGCAGAATGTGTCCATTTAAAATGCATCTCTGGGTTATTTGTGGGGCAAAGGAATTCGTTCACCCCCCCCCCAAAAAAATAGTCCGGCCCCCCACAAGGTCTGAGGGACAGTGGACCAGCCCCCTGCTGAAAAAGTTTTCTGACCCCTGCTCTAACCCCTTCAGTCACTTTGAAATGCTTATTTCAATAGCATGGAATCTAGAAGTGGCATTGCGGGGGGGGGGGAATGTGGAGAGGCAGCGGCACATTAGCAATCATGGGGTGTGTGCAGTGATGGCAAGGTCTAGAGTTGGTAACAACAGCACTGAAAGAACATCACCAGTCCTGAGCTCCCCTGACCTCACCACCACTTTGTCCCACCTCATCCTTCTCCTGTCAAATACGGCTCTGCTGCTGCCCTCCTGCCTCCCGCTGCAGCTAAAGGAACGAAAAATTGTTAAATGATAATGTATTGCACTTTAACAGAGTACAGACGTGCCTTTAAGGCAATGCCAACAACCATTTTTAAACTGAGATTTTTAACAGTTTGGAAGGGGGGAAACGAGTGAGGCCGTTGATTAGGCTTTGAGATGGGTGCCAAATTGCAATCACTGGCAAATATAAATAAAACGAGGCACTGTGCATGGATTTTTTTTCCCTTCAGCATTTCAGGGCTAGAAAACAAAATGTTTACCAAATGCAAGTTTCTATGTCCACTTTTCTTTGGATATCTACTTCTAGCAAAAGCATCCTAAAACTTCAATGCACTAAATAAGGGGGTAAGATAGTAACAGATTGTGCAGAAGCTAACTCTGTGGCAGGAGAAACAGTATGTAGCAACCTCTAGTTAATATATGTTGTTGTTGTTGTTGAGGGGATACCTTAGCAGTAAATTCCCCTGCTGCTGCCGCCACCTTTGAAGATTTGCATGTCTGCCCAAACTCAATGAAGTGTGCATGGAGCACTTTCAGAACAGCTGAAGCCAGGCTGAGGAAGAGCAAAAAACCAGACTGCAGGGAAAAGGGAAGAGCTCAAGCACTGTTTTTCTGAGACCCAGTACAAAAGTGTAACACACAATATATGCACACACAAGTTTTGTCAAGTTAGCAAAAGTGAGAAGAAAATCCTTGTCTGTTGTTTTTTTTAAAAATTGAAAGACTGATTGGTGCCCTTTACCTTCTTTGTGTTTACCTTTGCTTATGGTCCTTGATTTCTGCGGACTGCTTTGTGATTATAGCCAGACATGGTGGTATGACATGCATGTATTTTGGCACCATTTTCTGTCATTGGGATCTAGTGTCAGTTTTATGCATTCCTGGAGACCAGAGGCATTACCCTCATCCTTTTCAATTTCCCTAATTATTATCCCCAATTTCCCACACTCCTGCTAGCAGGCCCTGCTGGCTCCTCCTCCTCTCTGCACAGGTAATAGTAACAATTCTAGGACTTGTAGTTCTTAGAACAGGAGCACACTCTGTGCGTGCTCTCTCTTTCTCCCTCTCTCTTTCTCTTCAGTGTATGGACTCTCACCTAGATGGCCTCAGCTGACAGCTTACTGTTCAAAGCACTGCTTAGTCTGTACTACCAATGGAAGTGATAAGATCCAAAAAATCTCACAAAATACACACATTCCACATTGTTGTTGTTTAGTCGTTTAGTCGAGTCCGACTCTTTGTGACCCCATGGACTAGAGCATGCCAGGCACTCCTGTCTTCTGCTGCCTCCCGCAGTTTGGTCAAACTCATGTTAGTGGCTTTGAGAACACTGTCCAACCATCTCGTCCTCTGTTGTCCCCTTCTCCTTGCGCCCTCAATCTTTCCCAACATCAGGGTCTTTTCCAGGGAGTCTTCTCTTCTCATGAGGTGGCCAAAGTATTGGAGCCTCAGCTTCAGGATCTGTCCTTCCAGTGAGCACTCAGGGCCGATATCCTTCAGAATGGATAGGTTTGATCTTCTTACAGTCCATGGGACTCTCAAGAGTCTCCTCCAGCACCAGAATTCAAAAGCATCAGTTCTTTGGCTATCAGCCTTCTTTGCGGTCCAGCTCTCACTTCCATACATCACTACTGGGAAAACCATACCTTTAACTATATGGACCTTTGTTGGCAAGGTAATGTCTCTGCTTTTTAAGGTGCTGTCTAGGTTTGTCATCACTTTTCTCCCAAGAAGCAGGAGTCTTTTAATTTCATGACTGCTGTCACCATCTGCAGTGATCATGGAGCCCAAGAAAGTAAAATCTCTCACTGCCTCCATTTCTTCCCCTTCTATTTGCCAGGAGGTGATGGGACCAGTGATCTTAGTTTTTTTAATGATGAGCTTCAGACCATATTTTGCGCTCCCCTCTTTCACCCTCATTAAGAGGTTCTTTAATTCCTCCTCACTGCTTAGTCTGTACTAACAATGCAACTGATAAGCTCCAAAAAATCTCACAAAATATGCACATTCCACATAGAGTCCCATGAAGAACTGTTCCAAAATGTCCCTCTCCCCCACCACAACCCCACGCCGAGGACCTGAAAATAGTTTTAATCTCACTGATAGGCTGTTTATGATTATTTACTTAAAATGTGTATAAAACACTTTTCTCAAGCTCAAAGCGGTGGACAAACCCTAAATGACCTGAAACAAAGGTGGTGGGCAAACGAGGATAGATATTTGCATGAAATGTGTGTGTGCTGCTTTATATATGTAGGCACAAATTTAGAAAGAAGTATTATCACTTAAACAGAAATACCGTACCTTACATCACACTATAGTACAGAGGACTGACCACATGAGATGTGGACCTACTCAGTTGGTAACTTTGAGGCAAAATATAAGCAACCCAACATTTCTCAGTCTCTGTTAGTCCTACTATGGGTGTAAAGTGTTGTTTCTTCTCAGGTAGTGTGGTTTTTAAACATTCTAATAAGTAAACATATTGGATTGGAATGGAGAGTCCCCCATGATCTGCTAGAGTTTTAATTTTTTGGCCTGGTCATTTTTAGAAGGGGGGAGGGAATATTTTTTATCAGTCACATGTGCTTGTTAGTTCCAGCAGCATTCAAAAGACCTTCTTAGCTATACTGCTTATCCTGGCATGCATTATATTTATCGATCTCTGATATCTGAGTCTCCCATATGGTATGCAGAAAGCATACACAATGATGAATAATGAATGGACAGCTGCAGAGTTTTGTAGCATGATTGACGCCTTTTGCTGGTTGATTGTTTAGCTAATTGAGTGTGATTGGCTCAGGAGAGGGGGGCTTTCTTGTGTTTCTTGTTTTTAAAAGACTTTTGTTTGTTTTTCAAAAGTTTGCTACCAAAGTTGTGGCTAATTTTACAAGCTTGAAAAATCCTCCTCTAAGGACAGCTCTTTGGCACCACACATTTGCCGCTCAACAAGTTGTTCTTGTTTTTTGTCCAGTGCCTTTTAGGACTAGGCAGACAGATGCTGGCCAACTCTTCTGCTGCAATATAAATAATGTATTACAGAGTCTGAATATAATTGTCTACTTTTTATGCAGGCTTATATGCATCTTGCATAATCAAAATGAGGAATCTTGTTTATCATACCATCTTTCTTTCCTCCTTTTTCAACTGCTTCATTTCTAACCTTAATATAAGTATTAACCTGACACCGTCGATTGACCCCTGAGTTCTACTAGTGCAACCTAAAGGTGCATCCAAAAGTCATCAGGCCAAAGGTAAATTACCAGACGGGTGGTAAGTGTCCTAGAAAAACCAGGACATCCTGTTTTTTAATCTCAAGAGAACAGTGGCTATTTGGGTTGCTGTGATCTTGCATGATTTCACCGTGTGGTTTCCCCCTGAAAAAAGCACTTGGGGGGACAGGACAGGACTGTGGTGCGAAATTGCCAAAATGTCTGCATGCTTTTTTTAAAAAGGGAATGATGTTGTCTGGGAAAATGGTGTCCTGGATTTTGGCTACAAAGTGTTGGAGGTTATATGGTGGCCCTAAGAAAGTCATCATCATATCAATCCTTGTATCTCTCTGTCACATAAACCACACATAAATTCCCTTTGCAAGCTGTTTTTGTGTGTGTTTAGCTGGGGTTGGGGAAGGTAGCCACATCACAAACAGCTCTCTCACCTTCAGCTGTTCTCATCTGGTCATGGAAGGAGCAGTGATGAGGAGGGGATCCGCTGCACACCTGGCCTGCTGGCAGTGGAATCACTATCACTACCTGGAAGGGAAAGTGGGAGAGCATGGCGGCAGGAGGTCAGGGCTGGACAGGTGCACTGGTGGAGCCAATCTGGCAGTGTGCCTGCACTGCAGAGTTGACCACACAACCATTTTGAGATGTCTTACCAATTTATGGTGATGTGCTAGACAGCATCTTAAAAAGTATAGACATCACGTTGCCAGCAAAGGTCCGTATAGTTAAAGCTATGGTTTTCCCAGTGGTGATGTATGGAAGTGAGAGCTGGACCATAAAGAAGGCTGATCGCCGAAGAATTGATGCTTTTGAATTCTGGTGCTGGAGGAGACTCTTGAGAGTCCCATGGACTGCAAGAAGATCAAACCTATCCATTCTGAAGGAAATCAGCCCTGAGTGCTCACTGGAAGGACAGGTCCTGGAGCTGAGGCTCCAATACTTTGGCCACCTCATGAGAAGAGAAGACTCCCTGGAAAAGACCCTGATGCTGGGAAAAATGGAGGGCACAAGGAGAAGGGGACGACAGAGGACGAGGTGGTTGGACAGTGTTCTCGAAGCTACAAACATGAGTCTGACCAAACTGCGGGAGGCAGTGGAAGACAGGAGTGCCTGGCGTGCTCTGGTCCATGGGGTCACGAAGAGTCGAACACGACTAAACAACTAAACAACAACAAGCTATAGATTTGGGGGGAAAGCTTCTTCTGGCTGGACTTAGGAGGAACATAGGAAACTGCCTTATACTGAGTCAGATCATTGGTCCATCTAGTTCAGCATCATCTGGACTGGTGCTCTCTGGGATCTGAGGCAGGAAACTGTCTCAGCCCACCTTGGGGACGGCAGAGATAGAACCTGGGACCTTCTGCATGCAAAACGGATGCTCTACCAGTGAGCTATGGCCCTTTTGTCAAACAACCATTGGTGTTTTTTTGCCATCTAAGCAAGGGAAGTATGAGATAAACCACATGTAATGTAAAAAGTCAGATGGAAGCAAGCATTTCCCTCTATCATATCCTCCATTCTCTCTTCCTCTCGTCTTTGGGTTTTCAAAACGGGTGGTATTTCCTCAGCTAGATCAGTAGATCTACTCTTTGTTTTATTTAAGGGACAGGTCCGCTTTGATCAAAAAGAAAAGCAGCAATGCAAGAACATTAAGCAACTAGCCTGTCCAGTGTGTAAATGGGCAAAGAAGGTACATACGTAATGTTTTTAGGGATAAACAGACCAGTATTTAAGAAGCTCTAAGAGCCCTTTCACTCAATGCGTTCCCAGAACACTTGACTATTTCCAATTATCCCTGCCTTTCTTGAAACCAAGAAACAACAAATGAATAACAGATGTCAACTTCTATTGAAGGCTACTTACTGAATGCGAGCTGTTCTCGCTTATGGGAAACCCTTTTAAAAGTATTTCTTTTTCTTACTGTTACCATGACAATATTTAGCCTAATCCCATGGCTTTTATCACATCTAAAGAAGACTGTGTAGGCAAGTTATTATCATTAAAATGAATAGTTCTCACAGTTCATAATGAATTTCCTTAAAGTTGTCTTCCTTGTAAGATTATATTGTAAATATGATTTCATCAAGGAAGACAGTATGGAATGCACAGACACATGGGAGCCCATCTTTCCTTGGAAGAGATTGAAACATGCTTAATTTTAATTGGTTTGTCTTTGTGGGGTCTTCTTTTTACAAGAAATAACCACCCAGGCTTCATCTCAAGATGTGTTTTGCACCAATTTGGGCGAAATGTATATTACTGCATTCTATTTGCTTACTAGGTTGATCCAGTCGTGATCTTGTGGAAGGGTCAAGTCCACCTAGCAAATCCACCTTCAGTTTTCTTGAATGAAGGTGAAGTTCTCAAAACTACTTGAAAGAAAGAACGTGAATGGCTTGATAAAACTGGAATGGCAAAATGGTTTTATTACTCCAAGGAGTTCAGAGCAGCTCCCCATTTTCTCCTCACGTGACTCAGGCTGTGGGAGAGACAGGGAGACTGTGCCAAGGCCACCCACTGTGCTTCACGTTTGAGTGAGGATTTGAACTTTAGGATGCTAACTCTCTACTTGGCAGCCAACGTAAAGGTAAAGGTAAAGGTAAAGGGATCCCTGACCATTAGGTCCAGTCGTGACCGACTCTGGGGTTGCGGCGGTTGCGGTGCTCATCTCGCTTTATTGGCCAAGGGAGCCGGCGTACAGCTTCCGGGTCATGTGGCCAGCATGACGAAGCCGCTTCTGGTGAACGAGAGCAGCACATGGAAACACCGTTTACCTTCCCGCCGGAGCGGTACCTATTTATCTACTTGCACTTTAGAACTGTTGCTTTAGAACTGCTAGGTTGGCAGGAGCAGGGACTGAGCAACGGGAGCTCACCCCGTCACGGGGATTCGAACCACCGACCTTCTGATCGGCAAGTCCTAGGCTCTGTGGTTTAACCCACAGTGCCACCTGCGTCCCTTGGCAGCCAATGTGGTCCCCTCCAAATGTTGTTTGACCCAAACTCCTATCAGCTCCAGTTAACATGGACAATAGTCATGGTGATGGGAGTTGTCACACCTGGCAGAGACCCATGTTGGCTAACCCTGCTCTAACCACTACGCAGGACACCATGTGTTTTGGGGGAAGCAGAAAACAAAGCTGAGATGAACAATAGCCCAGTACTTTACAATAGCCAGTTTCCAGCAGAATTGTAATCTGTGACACCAGGATGTTTGCCACAGCTGTTGCTTCCATCAGCAGCAGAATTTGGTTTGCCATTTTCCTTTTGCCCTTTGTTTAAACCATTGCATGCGCCCTCTTCTCTTATGGGCTTTTTGTGAATTCACTTCAGTTCCACAGAGCTCATAACTTCAGCTTGAAAGTGTTCCACAATGCATCGTTTTTCCCATCTAAAATTCACTCTGAATTTCAGACTTTATTAAGTTTCGTGTGCGGATAAAACAGGTAAAATATTGCCAAGTGCATATTACTGTTGTTTTTCAGGAAATTCATGCACCAGAAGGCTGTACTATTAAATAAAAAAACATGCAGCATATTCAAACTTGAGTGCACCAATAAAACTGTACTGTTATCTGGTACAGAAAGAATAACAGAACAGCCTTCCCTTGAGATGTTATGTGTATTTTAACAGCACTGACAACCCACTAAAATTGGCATTCTTCATTTTCATTTTCTACATGGCATCTAGGAAGAAGTGAAAGTCATTTGAAGCTCTTTTTAAAATTGCTTTACTTGCTAAGGAATAATTAGGATGATGTGGAAGAATTACTGAGGTTTGTAAAATCTGGATTAGATATAATTTCTTTTTGGTGCGGAACCCTTCCATGTATCTTTAAGGTCGATTACTATGTATGGCTGAAGCAGGATTTCACCTTTCCCTCCATGTTTTAGTTAAGAGAGTCTAATTATTGCTAAATCAGTGGTGCATCCTGACTGGTTTGATTGAAATAGATGCTTTTGTAATTCCATAAAACAGAATCAACTACTACCAGCTTAATGAATTATTGGGTGTACATTTGAATTTTCAGGTGGCAGTCTTCAATTTGCTTCCTGGTTTATTGATGCAAATCTAATCCTCCAAAATGTGAAAGACTGAATCTGTGAAATGTGACTAGGGAAAAAAATAACTTTGTATGTGCTTAAAGGATGTAAGAATCTGCTGTAATTGCTTCTCAGTTACTGGCATTCACAGGCTTATTTTCTCTGGCAGAAGATGCAGGACATCACCATCATGGCTCATTGCCACTGATAGCTTCATCCACCATGAATTGGTCTAATTTAAAGCCACCCAAGTTGGTAGCCATCTTTACTTCTTGTGGCAGCAAGTTCCATAATTTAATTATGCACTGTGTCTTTTGCCTGTCCCAAATCTTTCAACATTCAGCTTCAATGGATGGCTCCTAGTTTTATGTAGGAAAAGATGCTCAAAATTGGATTGGGGATTTCTGCAAGACTAGTCTTAGGCAAAAGCTGTTTGGCGGGTGTCTAATGGCAGAATTCTCTCTAACTAGAAGGAACTCCTTTTGAAAGGCAAGCTCCTTCTCCCCCAATGAATCTTCCTGTAACATTTAGAAAAAGAGGCATGTAACATGTATGTGATGGCCTGGGATTCGGACTCAGAAGCTGAACCTGAGGAATTCCAGCCTACACAGGAGTCACCGCCTCCAGAACCAGCTGAGCCGGGGTCAGGGCCTGAGCCTGAAGGGTCCTCACCAGTGCTGGATCCTCAGGTGCAGGCACCAGCTGGCTCCTGAGGCGATGGAGGACCCATTGCCTGCAGGTGCTCCACTCTCAGCCCTGTCAGAGAAAGCTGGGGTTGCCTCTGGGTCCAGTGACCCTCCAGCCTCTCCTGAGCTGCAGAGGCTCAGGGCAGAGAGGCGGAGGGAACTAAGTTCCTGCAGGAGGAGTGCTCGCCTCCAGGCCAGGAGAAGCGAGTTACCAGAGGATCGGGGCTGCCCTATGCCTTGGGGCAGATAAAAGCCGGCCAGCCCCAGTCTCAGGTTGTGGGAGCAACATTGTTGGTAGCCTGTTCCTGCCTGCACCCTGTCCTGCTCTTCTGCCAGAGTTCCTGACCTCACCCGTCTCCCTGCCTTGGACCCCGCTTCACCTTTGACGGACAGCCTCCATACCGGACCCTTGACCTTGGACTGGACTCAGACCTCGCCACACGGTTGACCCTCGGGACCAGCACAATGTATTCCTAGAACAGGAAACATCCTAGAACAGATAATTCAAGAGTCAATCTGTGAGGACTTAGAAAAAGATGCTGTGACTACCAAGAACCCAGCATGGGTTTCTCAAAAACAAGATGCCAGATGAATCTCGTATCCTTTTTTGATGGAGTTACAAGCTTAGTGGATCAGGGGGGTGCTGTGGACATAGTGTATCTTGATTTCAGTATGTTGACAAAGTCCCTCATGATATTATCTTGATGAAGCTGGTAAAATGTGGATTGAATGAGGTAACTGTTAGGTGGATTTGTGGCTGGTTGACTGACTGAACCCAAAGAGTACTCATTAATGGTTCCTCATCATCCTGGGGAAAAGTGACAAGTGGGGTACCACAGGGTTCTGTCCTAGGCCCATAGCTGTTCCATGTCTCTATAAACAACTTGGATGAAGGAATTGAAGAGATGTTCATCTCATTTGCAGATGGCACCAAACTGGGAAGGGTAGCTAATGACACAGAAGACAGAATCGGAATTCAATATGACCTGAACGGATTGGAGACATGGGCCCAAACTAACAAAATGACAAACTAACAAAACTACAGTTCCCAGGAGGAAACCATATGATTTAAATGTGCTTCAAATTTGTGTTGTGAATGCAGAGTTGGCACAGGCATTAGGTCGGGTGAGGCTGCCGCCTCAGGTGGCAGAAGCCCACAAGGCAGTGCCCACATGGGCACCCTGCCTGCCCTGCTGCTGGTATCAATGCCAATTTTAGGTGAGATCATGCCAGTTTCTCACAGGATCTCACTGAAATCATGTGAGTTCTTGCGGAGTGCATGAGATACTGCACAATTTCAGCAAGATCTCACCAGAAATCGATGCAATCTTCTCTGCCAGCGGCAGAGGCGGCAGCAGGACTGGGTGGCACTTCTCATTTCACCTCAAAGGGTCAAACGGGATGCGCTGCCAACCCCTGTGTGGATGAGGGCATAGCAGGGGATGCAAGCATTCCAGACGAGGAAGGTTAGCAACACATTTGTGTCGAGAAGCCTCTCTTCCTCCAGAGTACAGCTGCGGGGGGGGGGGGAGTTAAGCAAGTTAGGAGGCTTTGAAAATGATGTAACTGCCTTGAATCTTCGCCACCAGCCTTTATCCAGCTCAGTGTCTTCTCGTCTTTTCCATGCAAAAAGCCAGTCTATGTTCCAATCCTATAACATCATTAGATCTCT